CTCTGAATATACGATTTCTGTGCTCTCCTCCATTGTCAGACCTTAACCGCTTGACTTTCAGACCAGTCTCATTTTCCACCATGGCCTTCCATTTTCTGAAGGTATCAAAGACTTCTGATTTTTTCTTCAGAAAATAAACCCACACCTTCCTTGTAGAATCATCGATGAATGTGACATAATATAATGAGCCTGCAAGAGATGGAACTGGAGATGGTCCTCATACATCAGTATGGACCAACTCTAACTTTTATGCCTTGGGTGTCTTGCCAATCTTTGCAAAACTGACTTTTTTTTGTTTGCCAAAGATGCAATCCTCGCATAGTCTGACATCTACATTCTTTAGATCTGTCAGCTTCTCTTTTGAAAAAAGTGTCTTCATCCCTTTTTCGCTCCTATGGCCAAGCCTTTGGTGTCATAGGTTTGATTTTTCATCAGTATCTGCTGCAACAATGATATTCTCTAAATTTGAGGTTATATAGAGAGTATCGATCTTCTTACCACGAGCACTGATGAGTGCTCATTTGGTAATCTTACATTCACAGTCTGAAAATGTTGTGCTATATCCTTCTCCATCAAGCTGTCCTACAGAAATCAAATTTCTTTTGAGGCCAGGAATATGTCTTACTCCTTTCAGCGTCCAAGTGGTCTGGTTTGGCAACTTTAATCAGATGTCTCCTTTTCCGACGATCTTCAAGGTTTCATCATCAGCTAGATGAACATTCCCAAAATCACCACTAACATAGTTCTCCATGATTTCTCGGCATGGGATGGAGTGGAAAGATGCCCCTGAATCCAAGATCCATGATTCAATCGGACTGTTGACGCTTAGAATCATAGCATCACCTGTCTCCTCTGTCATGTTGGCAGATTCTTGTGCACCGGTATCTTTCTTCAGTGCTCGACAATCTCTTTTAAAGTGATCCTTCTTGCCACAGTTATAACAAGTAAAATCTTTCTTTCCTATTCTTGATTTGCCCCTTCTGGATTTCGATCTGTCACGATTTGAATTTCTTTCTGAAGTTCTCCCTCTAGACTCGGTGTGCAAGGCTGATGAGGTTGATGCTTCACCCGATTCTCTCCGTCGAATTTCTTCACTCAATACCAGATCCCGAACATCGTCGAATTTTAATTTGCTGTTTCCCGACGAGCTGCTGACTGTTGTAACAGTAACATTCCAACTGTCTAGTAGAGATGATAAGAGAATTAAAGCTCGAACTGCATCATTGAACTCAATTTCCACGGAACTCAACTGGGTCGTGATTGTGTTGAGTTCATTTAGGTGTTGAGCCACTGATGCCCCTTCTGTCATCCGCAAATTGAATAATCGCCTCATCAAATGAACTTTGTTTGAGGCCGATGACTTCTCATACATACTGGAAAGAGCCGCCATAAGACCCGCCGTGGTCTTTTCCTTTGCTATGTTGAAAGCAACATTGCGGGATAACGTCAGTCGGATAACTCCGAGGGCTTGTCTGTCGAGAAGGACACAGTCTTTATTCTTCATGCCCTCTGGTTGTTTTCCTGAGAGAGGTTGATATAGATTTTTTTGATACAGAAAATCTTCAATCTGCATCTTCCAAAAGCCAAAGTCCGCACCATCGAACTTTTCAATTTTCACATTTCATTCGTCTACAGCCATCGCTCTCACTCGAATATGGCTTTGTTTGGATCGTTTCTGACAATTCTTGCGAACCACCGTGTATTAGAACACCTCCGTCGACAAATTCGTATCGCCAACCAAAAATAAAATTACTATTTACGAAATTTACTATTTACATGAATAGTAACCTCACAAAAAATTGACAAAATTCACAACCAAAAGCTTTGATAGTTGTTGGGAAATAAACTGAGTACGAGTAATTTCCCTATAACTATATTAGTGAAAATGCGAAATAAAAACGGAAAAATAATACCCAAAATTGATAACGGAGTTCAACCAATTTTGCCTACGTCTCCGGACTGCTGCAGATCTTTTACTAAGAGAGATAATTTACAGGTGTTTACAAAATACTCGCTACTCACAAAAAACTCTTTAGTATTGAAAAAAAGAAATGATTTAAGATTTTGGGATGATTTTGAAACTAAATAGATTAGGATATTTATAGTTAAAGCTTATGACTAATCTTATAAATACCCTAAAGTTTAATGACTCAATTTTATAATTATTCATTTACTAATTTCAATAAAATTAAACAACCTACCTTAGAATTCTTACAATTGATGGTGTCATCCAGAATACCATGCAATTATCAACAATTCATCTAGAATCTCATGCAATACTCTGCGTAATTATCAACAATCCATGCGCAATTGTCAACAGTATGGAGTCGTTTCGCATATTGATTGCGATTAAACGACGGCGCACCTCATCGTCCTCAAACACAGCCTCCACTTGACGCCGACAGTTTCTCAGTCGGTCGGAAACCAAATCGGACATGCCGGCTCTTTCCAGATCTTCAACTTGGTTCCACCAAATTCTGTTCACGGCATCCAGGTACGGGCCATCCGGGTTGGCATCTCCGGCCAAGTACTTGGCGGTGCAATCCAGTGCGACGGCGCAGTAAGCTTCCTTCATGGAGTGGGGGATCTGGAGCCTTTGATTACAGTGGGTGCGGGCGATGGTCTCCAAATAGTGGAGTATTTTTCTCGGTAATCTCGCCGGCTTGGATTTCACTTCGGATGGAACGGAGATTGATCGCTTTCTCCAAGCGAGGCTTGGGGGTAAATGGAGGGAAAGCACTAATGAGTTTCTTCACCAACAAATCGTTGGCTGAATTCAGGACAAGGAATTCAAGAATGGAACCGCACATTTCTGGATCTACTTTTCTATCCATCGAATTTGAGGTTTGAATTAAGACGCCCTGACTCCACCATCTCAAAATCAATATTCACTTGCCCAAAATGAAATTAACTTAAAAGTTATATAATCCAAAAATATATTCATTTTTATTATAATATACTTGAAATTTTACACATCTTATATTCTTTGTAACCATTCAGTCTCGTCAAAGTAACAATTTTTTTCTATTAATAATGTATCAAATAATAATATCATCGTTTTTAAAATCATTTTGTATAAATATTTTTTCTATCGATAATATATTAAATAATAATAATAATAATTCTTTTATACGTTTATCATTGATTGACGGATCATAGTATTACTATTAAACTCTATTTAGTTTGTTCATAATGCATGATTGAAATATCTTAACTTACTTTAAATTTAATTAATAGATATACATTTGCATAATTTCTTATAAATGTATTTAGAGGGTTAATGATGAGATTGGAAGATTTGATGAAGTGGCATGGAATGAGGTTAAGCCGTTACTTTTATATTCCCAAGTTAAAACATTGAAGCAATTCATGGGTCGATACACAAAACGAAAATATCAACTTAATCACCGACATTTTCACTCCGGCTCTAAGTTTTTGATATCTACATGTGTGTTTGGTTTTAATGTGTTCCATTATGGGAGTTTCATGCTTAATTGGAAAATCATCATTTTGAAATTTAAATTTATTGTTTTTACTTATTTATTTTATTAATTAGGTTCATTTTGTAGTTTTATTTATGTCCACCTACGTACAAAAATACAGTGTTAAGCAGAGGAGTCTTCGATTATAATTTCAAATGGTAAATCTTTGACAAAACATCAATAAAAGATACTAGAACATATATAATGACGGTCTTAAAGTATTATTGATTGCAACTAACAAAGCGAATGCGTAAAGGAAAGGAAATATGGGGAAGTGAAGTTATGGAGGATGTTGGAGACTTTGTAGGTATAATAATGGAAGAGGTGGTTCATTTTAAATACGAATAACTTGAGTGTTAAGATGATGAAAATCCCTACTCTTTTATGATACTGAATTTGATTTGTCTACTTTTTCTACTATTTTTTAGTGTTCTAAATTGAAGTAAATTGATGCTGACTCTTGAAACTCAAGTTTTTTTCTTTCTGCCAACTCAACTAAATAATAATCAAAACTCAACCGTTTAACCGCCAACAAAACCCACTATCACTACTTTCTCAAACCGACTTCAATTTAATTTCATTTTTGGAACTTGCACTTTCATCCATAATTCTCATCTCCGATGGCTCCTCCTTTTCACAAAATTCTCCTATTTCTCTTCCAATGTTTTCCCATTGCATTTTGTGTTGAATTCGATGTTAACGGCGATGATGGTTGGCTCCCACCGAAGCATAACGACTCCCACCGTATCTACAACAAATGGGCATCCAAAAACCGATTCATGGTTGGTAATGTTATTCCTAAGTATCCGTATCGTTTTCCTTTTAAATCAACTTATATATTTGTATTTTTTTCCTATAAAAAATGGTCAGTTTGAGGGTGTTTATGTTCTTATAGATTTTCTTAAATGGAAAATTGTACTCCCCACTCTTACTAAAAAGTGACAATAAGGTTTCAAGTAGGAGAAAGACTCGGTGATGGTGGTGATAGAAGAGGAGTATGAAAAGTGCGAGACTTCGCATCCGCAGTTCTTCTCCAATAATGGTGACACTCTCTTCACATTGAACCGACCCGGTTTCTTTTATTTTATCAGCGGTGTAACCGGATAACGTCGGAAAGGCCAAAAGATGATCATCAAGATGTTGGATATGACTTCTTCACCGCAATCAAAGAACGGCACTGCTAATAGACTGGGGCCCATGAAAAATAATGCTGTTGCAGTACTAGCTTCTGCAACTCCTTTGAAGGCCTTGATATACATCAGCTTTTGGCTAGCTCTTTAATGTAATACATCTTCAGAATTTCCCATGTGTTTGTGTAATTATTTAGGTTCATGCTTTTACATTTTCAATATTTGAACGTGTATTTGATTTGGAAATTGAAATGAAATTCGAGAGAACTAAATATGTATATGATTAGGGATGAACTCAATAAATTTCAACTTGACTTTATAGGAGAAACTCGAAATTGTATGTCATTAGAAACATCATTGGATCAAAATTTGTTAGGTAGGTAGATAAAATGGTTGAGTAGTGTTGCTAATTGCATCAAGTTAAAGATATCATTCACATGGGCCAATACACTAAAACCGGTGGCATTCTTTTTGTACATAATATACGGAGATTAGAACTTCAGAAGCACTAATGGCCTATGGTGAAACAAAATAAAATCCTACAACGGTTAGCTCTCTAAAGTTGGGTCAGATTCGGGTTGCTTGGGAACCACAGCCCAACCATTCATTCTCGCTCGTGCTTCAGCAAACATCCTCTGCTGCTCAGCTGCAGCCTCTTCTTCAGTCATCTCTGTTCCATTGCTCCATTTGCCTCCTTTCAAGGAGTCGTGCTGCATTTCAAGAATACTATCAGTGTCTCCGCTGCCAAAACATACCAACAGAAAAAGAGTAGCGCAAGATTGCCAAGGAACAAGAAGACAAATAATTACCATGGTCTCAATCTTGTGTTGCTCATATGCAGCATATACCTCCTCAATATACTCCCCAAACCCAAGAACCTGACAAATTGCATGCATGCATATAGTAACGATTACCTTTCTGAAACTCAGAATAAATGCAACGCAGTAAACTGCACAACGGTAATGTGCCAATATCATATCACTGTTAGCAGCAGAAATCACTAGTACGAACCAATTCCATGGACAATTGCACAACTTTTACTTAAAGCTACCTGACTTCACCCGGTTGTGGGGGAAATAAATATGCAGAACATATTTAATAGTTATACCTATCTTTCAGATGGAGCAAGGGTTAGTCAAGGCACGGCTTAATATAAACACAAAAAAATCCTTCTTAGATCCTCAGTTGCTGGAATTTTCATGGTATAAGCAATTTCATATCCTATCTGAAATTACTTAAGATCGGAAGCAGGCTAGAGTCTCTACGAGCATGAAGATACTGCTGACAAACAGCAATGGCCCTATTCAATACATTACTTTTAAAATCCAAATAAGGCATCAAGAAGAAAATAACAAAATCACACGCCTAAAAAGAACCAAATTAAAATGTTAAAGAGGTTTGTGACATAGATACCTCTAAGGCTTTCAGTATATGCTCGGGTCTATGGGTTCTTTTCTCATCTCTGTTACAAACTTCATTGGACTCCGATGAAATGAGATTAATAAACTCTGCAAAAGGATTAAAGTTTTAATCAGTTCCAACAAACAAGAAGCAAATACTAGCAATTATGTTATGGTTTGGGTCCTTGGGACAGTAAAAATCCAATGACGTATAAGAATTACAAGTTATATAGATGGTGCATAAATTTTCCAAACATAGTTCTAACAAGAAAAAACTTTTTTCCCACCAAAACCTTCAATGATGCGACAAACACTGTTGAGTATAACCAGATGAGACTAAACTGCCAAATTGCATTCACAGTAATGTTAGGTCAAGTACTTGTACTTAGAAGAGAACGATAGTGACAATTGTTCAACCTGTCAATTACTAATGTACAGTTGTAAAGAGGCTAGCTAATTAAAAGGTCTCTAACCTGGCTTGACTAGCCACTGGGACATGTAGTGAAAAATAAAAAATAACAGGAGAAGAACGATCCATTCATTCGTCAGTTGTCTTTAAGCAATAATAGTTACTGAATATATTGACACTAACATGCAAAAGAATAGCTCTAAAATACCAAAAAATGTCAGACAAACTAATGGCAGGTAAGTGATCGCCAAAACATAAAAAATGAGAAATTTGGCTGTAGAAAGTAGAAACCAAGTAGAAATGTGTTACTCCAAACAGATTAAAAAGGAAGAAAGATCAAACTTATTGTCTAACCTACTTGAGTATCTCTTGCAACACGTACATCTGGCGGTAACATCTCCTTTATAATTTTTGTCATAGTAGCTGAAAAAAAGAATATATATATATATATATAATTGGCATCACAAAGCAATAAAACAATCCATTGTATAATTTGCATGTGAATGAAGAAGGATTTTGGCTATCTTAGACAAATTTGACACCCTCACCCTCTCTTTATAACACTAAAAAGTAAAAGAGAATTAGAATCGTAAACTGCTCAAAAGTGAACCATGTAAAGTGTTTAAAAATATTATAGCCCTGTTATTAGCTCATAAGCACCATTTTACCAGGTAAAAAAGCTTACCAGGGAAAGCAAATACATCAACCCATACCAGGCATAATATCAAAACACTTGCAACTCTTGCCAATTGTTAGTTCTCAGAGCAGCATTGGAATAGATTGCTTTCTTATACAATATTTATTATACAATATCAAAGGCATTACAGTCCTCAACCAACGCAATGGAATCCTCTCATAGAAGCTATAGACAATAACCTCCCACTTGGAGTTTGAAAACAAAAAGGTTTATACATAATGTATACATATGATAATAACAATAATAGTAATAATAATAATAATATACATAAGCATATAATAACCAATAAAATTTTTAAACATCTTTGACAGACCAAGCAAAAGATAGCTCCTCGGAAAAAGCTCAAAAGTCTTACAATAGAAAGCTAGTCAACGGCAAGGTTTGAACACAACTTTATGCTTTATATTATGAGAGATACATACTTTCTTACATCCGTCGTGCTTACCTTAACGTTGTCAAATTCAAGTTTATGCAAACTTTCACCCTTTGGTAGCTTACTCAGGAAAATAAAAACTATCAACTTTCAATTGCAACTGATTCACTTATTTACTAGCATTCATAGCAGAAGTTGACATAGATATATACCAGTACCCTAAATTAAGCAACAAAACGGATGTGAAATAATCATTCTGGGCCAACTCTGATGGTGGATAAAACCACCAGCAAATTCAAGTCTTGCAGTTGAGGAATTTCAAACGAAAAAGACAGAAAAATCCATCAAAATTACCAAATAAATACAAATACACAAAATAAAAACAACGACAAGAAAGCAAATGAACGAAAAAAATACCTTTGGGAAGCGAAGCGTCCTCCTTCGACTTCCCTACGATATCCATCGGCTCCATCTTTTAATTCTTAAAAAAAAAAGACAAAATCAAACAGAGGGAAAACAGATCTAAAACGTGAGAGCAAGGAAACCGAGGGAGAGAATTGACGCACCGAGTTACCGAGTTAAGACGTCGGGACGTGATATTCCTACGGAAAGAAAAACGATAAACGAGTCAAGCGAGTCGTGATCCGAGTTGAGTGGGGATTCAAGAGGAAGGACATGCTTGATTTATGGAGTTTATCAGATAAAGGCAAAAGGAGGGGGCTTAACGATAAAGAGAGGAACTTCTCAATCGCAGTCGATTAGGGCAAAAAATAATTAACAACAAAAATAAATATTTTTTTTTAAAAAAAGAACCCGAACATTTCACTTGAGCACGCGGGATGTCCACGCCCCAACTTTAGGCGATTCGGAAAATTTCGCGCAAAAAGTGGGTGTGGTGCCTGGGTGCGTGTTTGGAAAATCCATTAAATATCGCGTGGTTTAAATTGGTATTAACTATATTTTTTAAAAGTTTTCTTATTAAATTGTCTCTTCTTAATTGAAAAGTCAATTGAACTTTTAATCTAAACCCTAAATTAAATAAATTTTATATAATATATATATGATAAAATGAATTATTAATTTATTATTTAAAAAATTTTGATCAAATTTTAGTTTCTTAAAATATTAGAAGTTTATTCAAGTACAGATTTTTAAATAATAATTCACTTATAGTTCAAATTAAAACTCATTTGTTTCTAAATATAATTAGGAGACATTTGATATATAAATTATATATAAATACATGACTAGCGAGGAAGAGGTTTGGATTCGATGAATTCTGATTTTATAGAGTCAAGTGTTTTCTTCAATTATTATTCAAGTTTGAGTCATGACGAGTTTAAATTTAAAGTAAAAAAGAAAAATGAACTTTATCTAATTTAGGATGACGGTGTAATTATCTCATATTTACTTAAAGATAGTTCTAATATATATATATATATATATATATCTATATTTTTTAATTAGATCTTTATTTTATCAAATAAAAATAAAAACTATACAATATATTTATATATGGTTATGTGTGAATTTTTATTTTTAAAAAATGAGTTAAATTTCAAGTCAAGTAAAATCTCTCTAACTTTGGGCCGGGTGGGATTACAGGTGAAGGATATAAAATTTGGATCGATTTAAGTTCAAGAAGGGAATAAACTTAGCTAGGCTCAACCCATTCACATTAGGGGTATTCATTCAGTTAATTCGATCACCTTCTGAACCGAATAACTATTAATCGGATTAACTGATATTTTCTTTAACTGTTAATCTAATCAAATTTTTTAAAAATATTTTAACTGAACCGAACTATGTTCGATTATTTTATTCGGTTAACCAAATTAACTGAAATTTATAAATAATATATATATATTAGATTGAATAAAAAAATTAAATTAAAAAGATGATCTTATAATAATCTTCGAATCATTAAATTCAGATTTATTAATAAATGAGTCTATTAAGATCTTTTAATTGGATGATTTCTTATGAATCTAAATATTTGTTTTGAAAATATAATAACAATTATATTAATGAATATAAATCATAAATGGATTTACATATTAATGTGTTAGATGATATGAATATTATATATATAATAAATAATAATGATATGTTATTTCCTATAAGTTAATTTAAATTAAAATAATTATTTAATCATAATTAATCGATCAATAAATCAGAAATCGATAGTTATAAAAAAATTTAAAATAATTAATATTAATTAAAATCGGATTAACATCTAGCAAAATATCTGGGGCCGAAGAGAAAAATTGACTAAAAAGAGTTTAGCCCAAACAGTCCACAAAAACAACGTGTAATGCCCAAAAGTGTTACGTGGACTTTTCCCAGTTGTCTGTTCCTCATCCATTTCCGCCAATTTTGCTTCCCAAGCTTCAATTCCTCAGCTCAGAAGAATCTCAGTCGAAAACCCAATAGAATGTCTAAATGTTTACTCTTTCAAACAGTTCATTCAACACCCAGAATCCATCCCAGAACTGTTGCTTCGATCTTCTCAAAACCTCGTTCAATCTCTTCAGTTCCAAAATGTTACTCTCCCATTTCTCCCTTTCATTCAGTTTCTTTGCCTACTCTCAAATCCCATTTCCATAGCCCAAGATTTTCGTTATCTTCTTCTTTTTCAACTCGAGCTTTCGATGACTCCTCATCTTCTGCCGATACCCAGAATGAAAAAGAAGAGAAAATTGTGGAAAAACCGGTGATTGAGGAGTATCCTAGTGGGGAATTGGAGTATGAGAAGTTTAGTTGGTGGAAGAGTTTCTTCGTTAAGTTTAAGATGCTTATTGCTTTACCGTGGGAAAGGGTTCGAAAGGGCAGTGTTCTGACAATGAAACTGCGTGGCCAGGTTTGCTTCTTCTCAATACTCCTTTTTTTTTAAATGAATATTTGTGTTGAGAATCCTGAAATAAAAAGAGCTGGGTTTTTTTCTGATGGTAGTGGAGACCCTACTTTAAGGTGAAAGGAATTCAGCTTAAAGGAATTATTTTGTTTGCAGAAGGATTATATATATCCATTTTTATGAGCATGGTTCTTTTTTCTAAAGAATTCGGTGTTTTTAATCTTGCTTAGTTGAGTCGTAAATATGTCTGATTGTTTGATAAACATTTTTATTCTTTTTAGATTTTCAGCACATTTCTTGCTAATTTAGATTATAATGTTTTGCAAGTGAAAAGGGAAATCGGGGTAAAGATAGAATTCTATGATGTTTGATATTTGAAATCACTAAACTGTCCAGATTTTGGTGTGTCTGAGTCTCTGAGATCTGAAGGTTGTTAAAAATGCCATTAATTTATTTTTGTACTCCACTTTCCCTATAGATTGTTTGCATTCTTTAACTTTTTATATGATTGCTGTATTTGGGATTTGATAACTTCTACTCTTTCCATGTTCAGATATCTGATCAGCTAAAGAGCCGTTTCTCTTCAGGACTATCTCTGCCACAAATTTGCGAGAATTTAGTAAAAGCTGCATATGATCCTCGTATTTCTGGTGTCTATCTCCACATTGAACCGTTGAACTGTGGGTGGGGGAAAGTTGAAGAAATTCGGAGGCATATTTTGAACTTTAAGAAATCAGGTAAGTTCATTTAGTTCATTGCCTCACTTCCATTTTTTATATCCGTTCAAAAATTGAACTGTTGGATTACTTTGGGTATTGTAATCCACAGCTTTTGCCTAACTGCTGTTAAAGAACATTAAAGTATTTTTGAGTTGACAAGTGCATGATCCAAAATGTCCATACCTTAAGTCAGCTTGGATTTTAACTTTTTTCTTGTCATTTTGATTTTAGATAACCTTTTTACTCAAGCATATTTCTAACATATGCATGTACCTGGTAGATATATGTATCCGGAGAAAACAAGTTTCTTCTATCCGAATGTTAGATTTTATTTAACTACTTAATTTATTTTTGAAGGAAATGAATTTAAATTTTAATCTTTTATGAAACTTACAGGTAAATTCATTATTGCATATATCCCTGCATGTGCGGAGAAAGAGTTTTACCTTGCCTGCGCATGTGAAGAGATTTATGCACCATCAAGTGCTTATTTTTCTTTGTATGGCCTGACGGTTCAAGCTTCATTCCTTGGAGGTTAGTTGACCAGAATTTATTTTACTCGCTTTCTAATGTTTATTTTGTTATTGTTTTCATTTAATTATAATTGAGAAACTTGTGCGTAAGAGAATCTTAACCTAGTGGATAGCACCTGAGTATTTTTTTTAATTGAATTTTTTTTTTAAATAAGCACATGTGGGCTATTATAGTTTAGGAGAAGATGGTAGATCACCCATGCCATTGGTTTCAATTCACTTGCAAACTAAGGCTTAGTTCAATTGATTTTTAGCATATGTTTTACCTATTTTACTTGTACTCAAATGTGTGCACCAAATACAGCTATATCTGACAGAGGTATGTTTAAATTTTTCTATTTTTTTATGCATTTGGAGGGTCCTTGAAGGGTCATATCCCCATATGAACATCCAGAAATGTGTCAAACATAAGTGTTGGAAACAGGTGCTTCATGAAAAAATGAAGAATCGCAGCAACATAACTTTTTACAGCCCTTTTTAAAAGAGTTGCAATATACATCTCTATGGCCTAGGCTGTCTTTGGCTATGTCGTGACTCTAGTTGATTATGCTTTTAAGATTAAAGTGGCCCTTGGAAATGAAAATCATTTTAACAGTCTCTATATATATTTTTTTTATAAGAACAGTCTCTATATTTGTTATATTAAAAAATGAATAGGCAGGAAATTCATGTCTATGTTAGTTGGACTTGGGTGTGAGTGTCAGATACGAGTATGTAGCCGACACAGGCATGTTCAACTTTGTCTAAGTGTTACCACATTTTGGAGGTTGTTGAGAGGCCATATTCGCATACACATGTCTAAACATGCATGGGATACATATACTTCACTAGAAAAATTAAGAGTTGGGCATCAAAGATTCATGGAACCAGTAGGTAATCGATTTACATCTCATCGACGTATAAAATAACTCCCTTGCCGTTGCTTTACTTTCTTTTATGTACCTCGGTTGATTGTTTTACATTCAAATTTTCAACTTGTAGTCTACCTTTGTTTAATAGTGTTGTTAATACCATGCATGTTATTACCAATTGAATTTGAACATAAAATTGGTGGTCTAAATCTATTTGCAGGTGTTTTTGAGAAAATAGGAATTGAACCACAGGTGCAAAGGATTGGTAAATATAAAAGTGCCGGTGATCAGCTTACTCGGAAGAGTATGTCAGAAGAAAATTGTGAGATGCTTACTGCTTTGCTTGATAACATATATGGGAATTGGTTGGATGTAGTTTCCTCTTCAAAAGGTGCCTTTTATGTTCTATTATTGTGTGTTGATCTCAAAGCGATAAAGAAATTTTTTGGCTCACACAAATCTTATACAGGAAAGAAACGAGAAGTTGTTGAGAACTTTATTAATGAAGGGGTCTATCAAGTAGAAAAGCTGAAAGAGGAGGGATTCATAACAAATATACGTTATGATGATGAGGTAGAATCATCACATAGTTGATAATAGTTCTCTAATTCTTCAGTTTTCTTGACATATCTGTTTCCAACACATATCCTAACATGCATATGGGGAAGTGATCCTCTTAGAACTTTCTGAATACTTGGAAATCTTGTGAGAAAATTGAACATACCCGTGCAGGACTCATATCCTTGTCCAACACTCACACCCTAGTCCAACTAACATAGACCTATCTCTTTAGGAGTTGTTATGGGATAAAGTTCTCCAAGACTGAGAGCCTCAGAGATGAAAAAGGAAGGAAAATATTCTAACACATTAGGAAATATGTATCCAACATTAATGCTATTTAAGTTTATCGAGATACATAAACTCGGGCACTTCAAACAGACCATTTGCCTTCCTTGTACCATATATTGAAGAATGATGACTGTTGTGACAGTTTGGTCAATAGTTTTACTTTTAAGTTACCTATATGGATTTATACGAATAATATTTGATGTTTTGTAACTTCTGCAGGTTATATCAATGTTAAAAGAGAGGCTTGGTGTCCAAAAGGATAAAATTCTCCATATGGTTGATTACAAGTGGGTTCTGTCATTCTTTTCTTTTCCCATAGGCCATATAATCTTAAGGCAATGAAATTTCTCTATTATTTTCTTGATCTTTTTATGAAGTTTCCGTTATATGTATTCTTATATATGCCATTTTGTTTTCTTTGGAGATAATATATTTTGGACCAAAACTAGCGTAACATTTATGTCATTGCTAGCTATTTAAATTTCTCTGAACATTTTACTTCAAGAATTTTCTTCCTCTGTAAATGTAGGAAATACTCCAAAGTTAGGAAGTGGACACTCGGTTTAACAGGTGGTGGAGACCTAATAGCTGTGATCAGAGCCTCTGGGAGCATTAGCCGTGTGCGGAGTCCATTAAGTACTAATTCTGGTATCGTTGCAGAGCAGATCATTGAGAAGATCCGCAGGGTCCGAGGTATACCTCATTTTACCTTGCATACAATGATTAGTAGATGAAATGGAATTTGGCTCTGAACTTTACATGTATGAGGTTAATTTTTATTCACATAGAATTTAATTTCATTTCATGCTATTGATGTTTAAAATAAAAATTTTACCACCCTCGAAGTGAACTTTTTTAAATACAATTATTATTTTACTGTAGAATCAAAAAAATACAAGGCTGCTATCATACGAATTGACAGCCCTGGTGGTGATGCTCTTGCTTCAGATATGTAAGTGCTTCTAAAGATTGACTCTTTCAAGTGAATTCTCATTTTAGGGATTTAATGATTGTCAAAACAATTAAGAATGTATGAGCTTTTGGTATCCATGCAATATTGTTTGTGAAGTGATATATGACATCTTTCTATAAAACCTAAAACTTCTAAACTCAATAATTTAAATAAATTGTCTGATATGAATTGTCATTCTTGTTTTTTAACCTTTTATGTATCATGTTGAAACTTGGGTATTATGTGCTGATGTTCAGCATTTTTATTTCCTGAAATACATAATTGGATGCAAAAGGAAAAAAATATCTACCATGTATGTTTGCTAACTATAGATGATGTTTACAATATCCAGAATGTGGAGGGAAATCAGACTTTTAGCTGCATCGAAACCTGTCATCGCATCCATGTCCGATGTGGCAGCTAGTGGGGGATATTATATGGCTATGGCAGCTCAAACTATCGTTGCTGAAAATTTGACTTTAACTGGTTCAATTGGAGTTGTCACAGGTTTGTTAACTCGCTGAAACTTGATAAGCAAAAGGAATTTACTGTGGTCTGGGAAAAACAATTACAAATCCAAAAGATTGAGTTAGAAACTATTTCGGGCTCACTGTTATCTGAAACTTATAACAAAGTTAAGAAAAATTCTTTAAAAACCTTGAAAATCAAATATTATTCCTTGAATCTGTTCTCCAAAGCTAAAATTTCCAAGCCTCATACCAGTTTACCAGCGGCAGAAATCTGAAACATGAAATGGTCATAGCCTTATATCTCATTTTGTACTGGGTTACTGTTGTATTTTTTGTGACCTTGAATGCCCCTGTTGAACAAATTGACCATTTCCTTGTTTCTTTGAACTACTTGCTTGTGGCTGAAAACCAGAAATGCTGGATTCCTACATAGACCTTTCGGATTTTTGCAGGTCATAAAATCAATGTTTCTTTGTTTTCCCTCTTCTCTTGCTTGCAGGGAAGTTTAACTTTGGGAAACTATATGAAAAAATTGGCTTCAATAAGGAGGTCATATCAAGGGGAAGATATGCTGAACTTCTCGCAGCCGAGCAGCGGCCTTTAAGGTGAATGCCATGGTTGCATATTTTGGTTAGATAGAAAGTGAAAAGATGTCAAGATTTCATTATATTTTGATATTGGAACGTATGTTGACAATTATAAATATTTTCCATATATTTAGAAGGTAATGTCCATGTTTGGATATGTGTCTGACACACGGGTGTTGGACATGAGTACCTCAAAAAATAATGGAGAGTTGCAATAATATAGATTGTGATTATAAAGATGAGTTTTGGCTCTTATCTATTAATTATTCTCTTTTCCTGACTGTTATCTTTGGAGGATTTAGATCACAAAACAACAGCTACTTTTCTGTTTTTTAAATTAATAGAGAACTAACTTTGATATATACCAGACCGGATGAAGCCGAGCTATTTGCAAAGTCTGCACAGAATGCTTATAAACAGTTTCGAGACAAAGCTGCTTCTTCAAGATCAATGCCTGTATGTTTATCCTTTTTATCTCCAGTTTACATTGTAATGTCAAGTTTCAGAACGGGAAATCCTTTGAAAAAAAACTTGAACCATTGAAAAGGTAGAAAAGATGGAAGAGGTTGCACAGGGCAGAGTGTGGGCAGGTAAAGATGCAGCATCACGGGGTTTGGTCGATGCTATTGGGGGACTTTCTCGGGCCATCGCCATTGCAAAACATAAAATCAATATACCCCAAGACAAGCCGGTTAGTTCTTTTCTTTTTGTTTTAAGACAACTTATTCCGAGGATGTCCATATTTTATCGCGAACTACTTTGGTTTTTCCGACTTATCAGGACATATGTGAGATGTCTTCATCAGTCCATACCATTTATGTTTTCCTTGACTAGCGTCGTGTAGGAAATAAAGTTATCGGCATTGTTAGTCCTAGTAGCCATCAGCAACATGAAATTAGCGACCTATATCCGATTAGTATCGAAACAAAATTCTGTGTGATAGCACTGCACCCTGCTATGGAATAGGATGCGGTACAAATTTATGGTATTTGGCATCGATTATACATTATCGATTCATATCATATCGAAGCTTTTGGTCTTTATTTATTTAAGGACGACATATTTTAAGTTATTCTTTGTCCGAAGTTAGTTGTCGTTTTGGAAAATACTGATGTATGTGGTAATAATGGATTAGGTTACGCTTGTTGAGGTATCGAGGCCATCGCCAACACTTCCGGAGGTGTTAAGTGGGATAGGGAGCTCCATAGTCGGAGTAGACCGAACACTAAAAGAACTGCTGCAAGACTTGACGTTTGCTGACGGTGTTCAAGCTCGGATGGATGGAATTATGTTCCAGAGATTGGAGGGGTTTCCCAATGCTACCCCAGTGCTGAGTTTGATAAAGGATTACCTCAGTTCAATTTGATCTTAAACGATCGCCTTACCTTTGCCATTTGATATAAGTTATTGGGATTCATGTCGGTGTGTCTATTCGATCCATGAACACCTTTATATAATACTGTTTTGATCACTCTCCATGATCAACAATCAGCATTCCTGTTTTCTAGCCCAACTCAAGCACTACTTTGCTTCATCTTTATAGCAGATATAGCCCAACAACTCTATTTTTTATAATAGAATAAAATGTAAAATAAATTAGTCAAACCCTAAACCCTAGATATGATACATGACTTGTGTATATAAAAGAAAAGCCTAGCTTTGTAAACCCATCAGCAATGGCAGCCGAAGAGTAAATGGTTGATAGAATGATTCTTTCTTTTTCTGTCGGACAATCCCTCGGAAGAAATCATAAATGAGGCCTTGACAATCCTGCTAAGAAAGGTGTGATCGATCTTGATCTATCTAAAACTGCAAATTGTTCTGGAATTTATCTTGTTCAATCTATTCTTGGGGAAAACTTAAAACCCTGAAGTCGATTTCGATAGTGAGGCGTAAAGCGTTGAACGAGCTTCTCTCTGATTGATTTCTTCTGTCGCACAAGCCCATCCATACCATGTTAAACCTAGTAGGATACATAAAGAAGATGGTGATTCAAATCGTTTATTATCCAACCATTGACGTACTCCAAAGTTGCTTTTTTTTAAAATAATTTATAATCCATATATATTGAATTTGATTTATATATTTGTTGTTTGATGTTTCATCCGCGTTACCAATTAATATTTTATTATTGTTACAGACTCCAAATGTATTTCGAGGACGCTACTAAATCCAATTCAGTTAAGTTGGATTGATTTATTTTCAATGCCCTGCCCTGCGTACACGTCTTTGCACATTTTTTACCAACAGAGTACGACGTTGCCTTGACGGCGTTAAATAGAACTTATATATATATATAGAGAGTTATAGACACCCAATAGAGGGGACCCCACCGCACGCAAGGCGGCAAGTAGAGTGACAGATTAACGGCAGAGGATGGGCGCACGTGAGTAGGTGCCCCCTCATCACCCAAGCCTCACGTGCTATACATACTATGCTAATAATTTGTTTTCCCTTTCTTTTTCTCTTCAAAACAAAACCAACAATAAAAAAAAAAACATCAATAATCAACACCGACGTATTATTTTTGTATGAACTACAAATGTCTTCTACCTATTCATTTAAGTAAAGATTAATCAAATGTAAAGTTTTTGTAATCAGATATTAAATATTTTAGAATTCTCAAGAATTAAAACTCAAAATATGTATAAATTAAAATATCATAATTATTCTCCTTTATTTATATGATGCTCTGAATGAATTTTACACAAATCAACAATATCCAATAATGGATATCTAATCTACTTCATTCAAATTAACTTTGATCTACCTTGATGGAGGCTTTCTCCATTGAATCTAATATCGTGAGGGATAACTTTTAATTAGTGATATATAATTAAATCTCATAGTTATATTTATTATTTAAAAATATGTGAAAATGGAATTGCGTAATGTCTTGAACCAGGCCCCACAATTATCGCAGCGTGAGTTGTACACGTGATTTGGGAAGTGAGGATGTGGTGGGCAGACATTTTTAATCACGTGATATATGCGGATTTCACGGAGCAACTGGCATCTGTCCTTTCACTTATATTATTTTTAATAAAAAAAATATGGAATTTAAAACTCCAATTAAATTAATTAAAGGAGTCATTAATATCGCAAGACAACCAAAAATAAATAATTATTGTTAACCGATCCCTAAACAGATTCCTTAGCAAAGGAATGCCCATTTTACAAAAGGAAGGGGAAGCCTCTGCTACTAAAAACAAACACTTCTTCATTAAAATATATTTCTTCTTAGTGACAACGCATATAATAAAATATATAACTGTGTTTTTTGTTCTTATAAAATCGTATAGTTATAAATTAACACAATAATAAAACTATATAATATATTTTATTATATGCGAACATCCAGGCATGCGACCCTTAACCTATGCGAACTTTCAAACCCGAGGAGCGTATCCTGCTAGCAATCATCAATGACCACGGGTTAATCACATACAATCCTTGCGAATTCATCCTGCATAAAATCTTCAACAACCACGTGTTGATATATGTGATCTCATTTGATAACAAATCAGGTTGAGCAATCACTTTCTAAGACGTCTAATTAATATCAATAACTCTCAATCAACACGGGTCCAAAACACTATAAATAGTCATGCAACATATAGCAAAGGTATGCACGCACTTCTTCACGAGAAAACCATATCAACATTATCAAAACCACTATCTTATCATCGTCTAGAGTTGTTGTTCACTTTATCAAACAACAATAGCTCGCCTACAAGGAAATACAATTCAATTTAGAAAGTCACATATATATTTTTTTAAAATTTGACAAATATTTCAATTCAAGTTTATATTAACATAATTATGACTCAATTAAAATATGTAGTCACAATTTAATTAGAGAATTAAATTTATTAAATTTAATGAAAATTAAATTTAATTTGACACCTTGTGTAATAGGGACCATATGTATATTTATACCAAAATTTTTTAACTAATGCATCATCTTCTCGGTTAAGTTTTAACGACATGTGATAATTTTGTTTTATTTTTTTGAATTGAATATTTTTGACCTTAAACATAAATATGTTCGAACTAAAAAGAACTCCATCCTATAAAATTTGGTTCGGGACACATGTCTATCTTCAACCAAAAACCCAAATTCTAACATTGTAAATAAAAAAGTTTAAATTGGAAATATCATTCTCATAAAATATATACATATACCGTATTCAATCATATTAATAGATCAATAAATTAAGAAACAATATCATTAAAAGAAATAAATGTAAAAATCAAACAATTAAATCGGCTAAAAATACAATTTTAGAACCGACTCGAGCTGAAATATTACTGGTCCGCGAAACAGATGAGGTGCTTATCCAGGTGTTCTTTGTAAGAATTCACGTGAGTAGGAGGCTACAGTCACGTGGCCCACGCCCAAGTGCATGAAACTGACCTCACCTCACCATTTCACGTAAATTTGTCAATCAGCTCCATATAATAATGTCATGTTCAAAACTGATTTTTAGTATATAATAATGTCATACAAATTTAGAAGATTAATTATATATTTTTGATACGGACAAGGCAAGCTGTTTGGTTGTTCCTAATGCTATGCTCACCACGATTCTTGCTCTTTTAATTAACCAACTGCCCTAACATATATGCTTTCTATTCTCAATAATATTTTGTACATTAAATTAAAATACTATGGTTGAAAATGAAAAATATATAATATACTAACACGGCATGATATATGAATTAGGATTAGTGCTTACAAGCAACTTGGGTTTAGCTCAACAAAGGATATGATTTTAATTTTGACATTGTCTGATAGTATACGAGTGATAAAGAAGTTGGTAATTGAATGTGAGCATTGATGATTAGATGTAAAATTTTGTATAAGTGGATTAGCTAGATTGGAAGGAAATTACCGGAAAGATAATCTAAAAACCTTGCACATGGAGGCCATACCTGAAGCAGACAGGAAAAAGAGCAGAGACGTGACTTTTTTTCTCCTTTATCACCACCATCCTCCGATTTCTCTATTTGTCGTTTTTTATCTTCCACCACCGTCATTAACTCGTCGCCACCATATTAACTAGGTAACCCCAATTCCAGTATTCCATCAATCTTTTCTCACAAATTAACTAAACATAATATTTTTTTTCAATTTTATACTTCATATTAAAAAATAATATATAATTCTCATATGTCTTATTATTTTATTTTATAATATAAACAAACATTTTTAATATTTTTAAAAAATTTCCCTTATACGTATGTGATAGCCTTTATTTGGCAACAGGGTTTTTTAAACAACAGTAAAAAAAAGATATAATGACAATGCAGAAGATAATTGAAGAAAAAAATTAAACGAAATTAGATTATATTAAAGGAAATAACGAGCAGGCGAATAATATGAGCCAAGTTGGAGGGATGGGAAAGAATTTGAAGTAGGGGTGTGTTGGGGAAATCTAGGGCGAGGGATGCCTTGAATGGGCAGCTGCCTACGGCCTATCTTCACATGTCAAGTAAATGGTACAATATGCCTACCTACTCTTAGTCTACCCGTAACTATATCGACACTTGATAACGATTAGAGAAAATAATCTCAGTGACAAAAAATGCCTTATAATATACGATTTTAATAAAAAAAAATTGGATTTGACAAAATGACCAACTAAATCGCAATGCGATCGATAATTCGCAACGCGATCTCCGGTATCGCAAATCAGTTTCCAGATTCGCAACGCGATTCTGATTATCGCATTGCGATTTTCCAAATTCGCGTTGCGATTTTCCGAATTCGCAATGCGAATATGTAAATCGCAATGCGAATATGTAAATCGCAATGCGATTCTGACTATCGCAATGCGATTCTGACTATCGCAACGCGATGCTAACTATCGCAATGCGATTTTCAAAGCGCCTTTATTATCGCAACGCATATTTTTTTTTTCAAATTCCAAACACGAATATTAATATATCGGAACACTGAACCGTTCACAGTATATCCCGTAATCGCAACTCATAACCTAAAACCCTAAATCACAACTCAGTCTCATCTCCATCTCTCACTCTCTAAGGCGACATCCGTCCCCATCTCTGACGAAATCAGTCCCCATCTCCGGCGAAATCCGTCTATCTCCATCTCTCAGAGCCACCCTCACAATCATTCATGGTCAGAAATGGAAAATCAACCAAATCAAACACCGATGGTTAGTTTTTTTAATTATTTTTATTTTGAAATTTTTGCATTATTATTAGGTTTTTCATATTGAAATTGATGATAAGTTTAATGGTAATTTCAATAATAGATTAATAATTTCATTTAGATTGCTTATTAAATTCATTCGATTGCTGTCAATACTGCTAAACTGTTTAATCTTTAAACCCTGTGAATTTAGTATTTGTCTTTGTTTTGTCTTTTGGTTGAAGTAATGCAATCCATTCAAGTTTCAATTTTAGTATTTGAAACAGAGAATCATAACGCAAAATGAAAATCGC